GCTGTATTTTCTGTAGAAACAGAAAGTAAAGAATTATGATATATAATGGCTACTTCTAGGAATAAATACCAAATCAGATTTGGGAAATAGGACACACATATTTGAGAACTGGCAGAGTGACCTAGGATTTGGTTAAAAGTCACTCCTGAATGTACATGGCACTGACTGTAAGCCATGGGTTAGAAAGAAGGAAGGAAAAGGTATGTGGGGATAGGCTAGGAAGGATCCCAAGAGGCTGGAAATGAGGCAGGTTTTAAAGGATGAATAGGGTGTAGAAAGGAAGAAAAGGGAGTGGGGATGTGATGTGGAAGACAGGATGTCATTTGAAAGCAGAGATCACACTATGAGTAGCTGGGGATGTGGGATGGGGATCTGGGAAGAGGCGGTAAAGGCCGGTGCGTCAGCAGTGGACAGCTGAAAGGTAAATGCACAAGGCCTTGAGAAGGGCTCCAAGGGTGCAAGGGGGTACTGTCCCCATCTTGAGGAGCAGCTATGTTGGCTATGAGGGTCCTTGTTCCCCATTGTTTTCAGAGCCCAGAAGAAGATCCAATACAATCCCTCAACATGGATTGAATAGATGAAAGAAGAAAAGTCAAGGGCTGGGGTTGTGGCTCAGCGGCAGAGCACTCACCTAGCACGTGCGAAGCCCTGGATTCGATCCTCAGCACCACATAAAAATAAATAAATAAAATAAAGGTATTGTGTCCAATTATAACTAAAAAATAAATATTTTTTAAAAAAATATGAAAGAAAGAAAAGTCAGCACAGCCTAAGTGACCCAAATGCTACCAAGGATGAAAAACTCAAAGGAACATGGTCCAGTTCTGCAAAGAGAACAACACAGAGAGTGGAAGGCTTCCAGGGGAGCAGAACTAGGGGAGGGGCTGCAGGTCAGGGAGCCTCAGAGGTTTACAGAGAGCAGAAGGAGCCAACAGACCCAACCTCAGGGGGAGGGTAGAAAAGAAGTGGGAGGACCAGGTTGGGAGCTGACCCTTTGAAAGTGGAGGTACAGTGAACAAAGGTAGATGTCCTCACCTGAAGACAGAAGAAAGAAGGGAGGGAAGGGAGACACGGGTTACCTCCCCTCGATGGCCTCAGCTTTCTCAATTAAGAGAATGGGTACCTAGGTACAGCCTTTTAGAAATCCAAGACGCCCTCCAACTACCCTATGAGGAAGAACAAAAGCACAATTTCTAAGATGGCAGCCAGCCTTATAGCCACGAACAACTGTTCTGCAGCCCAGAACTGTCACAAGGCTGACCAAGGCAATCAAGGGAACATACCTTCTCCCTTTACCCCAGTGGCCCATCTGGACAGGTCCCTCGGTGTGTCATTCTGTAGGACTCAGCGCAAAGTCTAGGACCCTCAGCTGGGTGGGAAGGAAGGCTGTGTCTATTTCCTGATGCATTTGAGAACCAGGAGGCTTTACATAAATAATGAGGGTGGTCTTATTTGGTTTATACTTGGGCACACATAGTCAAGTAGGTGCATTTTCATTCTGCTCTTTCAGAATTCCTGGAAAGGCTGAATAATTTCAGAATAAAGACAATGCCGAATGCAGAGCCATTGTTGGGAACACAGGCAGGGGACGCAAGCATCTGATAAGGGATTGTACCAGGTGATCTCCAAACATCCTTACAGCCTGACATGTAATGACAAGTGTCATGGACCAGATTGAAGATAGATAGAAAGTGAGGAGCATGGAGAGGACCCGCATCCTAATTACAGCTCACCATTCACGATAAACACACAAGTGCAGACAGAAAGCTGCTTTGTGCACAATCCAGAGCTGAGGAGACGGGAGAAACCTGAAGTCAGTGAGCACCAAGTTCCCACAGTTCCTCCCCATACTATGCATTTTACAAGGGGACAAGGTAAGGGACTCAGATCAGGAGAGCCCAGGGATCCACAATGTGAGCATTTTCCTCTGAATACCTCAAGTCTTGCCATCCTCCCAAGGAGTGACCCCAGCTTTGTCTGCACCACTGCAAACATTCCCTGCTCATTTTATGTGCCAAGGCACATGTGGCTTTAATTATTGATGGCAGTGTCTCATCACACACAGGGATGTGTCTCAGAGTCAGTTCCCTCAATCGGTGAAGCCTCGATAATCAGAGTCCAGCTGCATCTGAGCCAGTGAATCTCCGCTGAGGGCTGGCCCGGGCGCTCCCTGTCCCCGTCTGCATAAGTCACTGTGGATTAGCAGAGGGAGGATGGGCCAAACACATTTACAACGCTCCTGCACAGTGTTCATCATGCCCCACATGCTATGTGAAAAACAACTGGAGCCGTCTGCTGTCTACTGAGGGCTAGATGCATCGCTGCCCTCAAAAGGTACTTCCCTCATCACAGAAGGCTTTGACACTCTGGAGTCATCGCAAGACGCTGTCTGCTCCCCCCATCTTTCAAATCTCCATCGATAAACCTGTTTCTCCTGCATTTTCACTGACCTCTTCCTGCTTACCCAGAAGGATGTCTGGATCCCTCCAAAGGCCACTGTGAAGCACACACCCAGAGAGCTCTAGGAGGAAGGCTCTTCCAGGTTTTCCTGGTACTGTGGCTCCTTGGCTAAGTACTGTGTCCTGACATCAAAGGACTCTCACCAGATCCCACAGCTCTCTCCATGGTTCCCAAGTTCCCACAGAGACAATAACTCTGATGGTTCAAAGAGAACTTCTCTAAAATGTGCCAGATTCCTCCCATCCGGAAATGTTGCCAATAACCTGAACTCAGGAGCTGCAGTGAGCAGAGATCACTGTGATCGTATTCTGAACTGGAAACCCAGAGATCCCACTAATGGGAATGCAGGTGATCCTCATTATTCACAGATTCTATGCTTACAAATCCCTCTGCTCTTTAAAGTTTATTTGCAATCCCAAAACCAGTATTTGAGGTGCTTTCACGTGGGTCATGCCCAAAGCGGCAAAAAATTTGAGTTATGCTCTGGGCACATTTCCAGCTGAGGCTGACCAAGGCCACATTCTGCCTTCCTTCTAAAAAAAAAATATGTATTTAAATTGGCAAATAAAAATTATACATATTTATCACTTATGACACATTGTTTTGAAATTCTTATTTCAGTTTTCATGCTATAAACAAGTATCTTTTTTTGTGGTCTCTTCCAGGCCACATTTTTTTTTTTTACATTCTGGGTTTTTTTGTTTGTTAATTTTGTTCTTTAAGATGGCTGCCAAGCATGGTTCTGAAATACTGTCTTGTGTTCCTAAACACAGGATGAGTCTCACAGAGGGATAGGTAAGTTTTGAACAGTCATGAGTTATAGCTGTTGGCCATTGAGTTCAATGTTAATGAGTCCACAAAGCATCTTAAATAAGGCCTCTTTAAATAGAAACACACATACAACATACTACAGCAAGGTTATGTATTAACTGGCTGATAAAACGTGACCAGAGGCTCACAGGATCCTAATACTGTATCTCCCCTAGGAAAAATGGTTCAGTGTTCTCTGATTCACTGTTTGCAGTGACTTTACAGAAAAGAACTACCTCAAATAATGAGAATCAACTATATATACTCAACAGAGCAACAGCTAAGTCTCTGTTCAAATATCAGTAGCATCCTAGAAAACTCAGTATCTGCCCTAGGAGGAGCTAGGACCACACTACCATCACAGGATGGCCACTCCCAGGCCAGGCCAGGAATAAGTCTGATCTGAGACAAGAGCTTTAGCCAAAGGAACCATTCTTTGCACTGTTTCCCACTGCTTATCTGAAATACAGGTATCTTTCTTCCTTGCTTAACCCAGACACCAGCTATCCTTCCTCCGACACTGACAGGGAGCCTTTGATAAACTCTGAGGCAGACTGTGGAGGATACTCAATGTTGGGAGGCAAATGATGACCTTATGTTGACTCAAGCCTAGTCTCTCCCACGGTGGAGACCCTCTTACGAAAAATCAGAGCTAGAGAAATGGAAGCGAAGGCTGATGAGGTTTCCAAATGTCCCGGCTGGTACAGGAAGACCCAGCAGGAGCAGCAAGGGCCCTGTGAGTTCAGAGTGTGGCCCAGATGCAGAGAGCTCAGCCCAGAGGATGAGCAAAAGCAGAATTCACCTCTTCCTAGGCCTACCCTGGGACTGGCTGACAAGAGAGCTCACGGCAGGCAGCCTGGGGCAGGAATCAAGATCTCACAGCCTCCTAGACCTTCAGAATTCCTGTCCACAAGGTAAAGCCTAAACCTAGCTGATCACTTGGGTCCCTTCCCGCTCTCACGTAGTCACTGGTGTCTGTGCTGTCCAGGGGCCTCTGCCTGCTCTCTTGAAGCAGTGGATTGTTTCCGGGGACAGGAGCAGTGGAAGGGAAGGGGTGTGCATTGATGTTGCTGGACCCAGGTTGGACGTGGAGACCCAGCAAAGGGAACACTGCTGGGTGGAGGGATAAGACACTGCAGCTCTAGGGGTTAAGGGGAACCTAGCAGGGCTGAGGAGAAATGCAAAGAAAGGGGCTGGAATGAACAGGAGGTCAGAGATGAGGAGGAAGCAGGTGGCCTAAGTCCTCTGGTCTGCGATAGGGAGGTGAGGGTTGCTGGTGCTCCAGTTCTCAGAGAGTGAGCACTTCGGAGCACTGGAGGGGCAGCTAGGTACTCACCGCCCTTCATTCCCTTCCCCTCTAGTGGAGGCCCAGGTGGAGGCCCTAATGACCTCGGGGGCTGTTGTGTGGACAGTCAGGTTTTGTGCTCTAATTATACAAGCCAGGTCTACAGAGAAGACCAGCCTTATTTGTGCCTGTGCCTTACTGGGAACACCTCTCCCTAGCCAGGTGAAGAAAAGTGGGAACCAGATTCAGCCCGACAGCCCTCCCTTCCCCAGGGAATCTGCCCAATGGCTATCTTTCAAGTTGTGAGACAAATAGGGAGGGTCTGTTTGGGGGACATTGGCAGGTGGCAGGTCATCCCAGAAGGTTCCAGAACCCCAGCTACATGGTCTGTTGCCACACCGCCCTTCCCACCCAAGAAGGGACAGAATTCCATCCCAGTACTTACACGTGTCTGGCTTGTGGCAGTTATGTCCCTGACGGAAGTACTGAGGGTTCTCAATGACTGGAATGCGGGTCATGCCGATGACAACCGTGTCGGGCCCGGCGTCCAGCGATGAGGGTGTGGTGATGCCGTGGTTGATGTGGTGCAATGGGCTGGCTGAGTCCTCTTCACCACTGATGACAGCCACAGGACCTGCACACCACAAGAGACATGGGAGCCTGGTCACACCCAGTCATTCTTAGCCCTGCCCACCAAGCCCTCAGTATTTCTCCCACTACAGTCTCCGTAAGAGCAAAGTCCTTTAGGAGAGTACATTTCCTCCGAATGTGCTGAATTCTGAATTGAGAGAATCCTACCCAAATTCTCTCAGGAATTAGCCATCCATTAGCCATGGAAATAGCTGCAAAATAAAAGTGTACCAAAATGACTGTGATATAAATTATCTTCACTTCTTCCCAAATCCAAATTAGTTCAAAATAATACAAGTTTAAAATCAGCTTCTTTACTTATGTAGCAATAACAGGATTCAAAAAAAAAAAATGATGTAGCACTAGTTTGTACCCTGCCCCTCCTTTATTTGGGAGCTTTAGAAACTAACAACACTGGGTTCCACCCCAAAAAGATGTGATTCGATTGGTCTGGGGATGCAACCTGGCATCAAGATTACAAAAGCGCTCCAGGTAAGTCCCATGCACAGCAAGGATTGAGAACCTCTGATTAAGGGGGCGCAATCCCAGAGGAGTGGAACGGGTCTCCCCAGTCTCTGCCACAACCCTCCCTCATTCACAGGTAGAGACCAGTATAGACCTGGGTCTAACCTGAGTCAGGTTTCACTCATGACAGTCACAAGGCTCTGCTGCTATTAGCCTCCTGTGGCTGGCTCAGCTATCCCCCTCTTAACAGATTCATACTGCCCCAATGGCTTCAAAGAACATCTTGTGCATCCCTACCAATCCTAGCTCTGCCATTTTGTAGCCCAAAGAAGAAACCCAGTGAATAAGGTTCACTTAAAAGCGCAAGTTGACAAAGATAATTAACACTGCAGTCGTGGCAGAACAATGATTCTTTTTTGTGGTGTGATTTTCCCATACATACAAATAAAACTCCTGTAAAGGGAATTAGCTGTGACTGTTTGTGGCTTCATACGACTGGCGTTTTAAATGGCTGCTTTGCTAGATGCTGGGTCCCTAGACAAAGTGCCTGCTGTGATTTGGTTTTGCGGCTTGAACAATATTTCCACTGCAGAAATCCATTACATCTTACTGAAGTTTATGGAGAGAATATTTCCCATCAAACAGCGAGGTGAAGCGCCAATGAGGCAGAACTAAATGGAAGACTGGTAAATGCAAACCGAGACCCTGAATTCCACTCCGTCAGCACAGACAGGCTTATTCCAATCCATGACAAATGGCCGACCGTGTTGGGAGACCATGTGAAAAAGTAGCAATGAGACCATGTGAAAAAGTGGCTGCCCACTCATCGCGATAACCACTTGCCTCGCGAAAAGAAGCCAGTGCCTGAAAGCACCGGGGAAACTTTGTGAAAAACTTCACAATGACTTCCAGTGAGAGAGGGAAAACTAAGCACTGGTCTTTGTCTGCTTTCCTTTGCCATTAAAATACAAAGGAATAAAATAAATATTTGTTCACAAAGAGAAAGAGGAAGAGAGGAGACAAGGTGAAAGGAAATACGATATGTCACAACTGCAGAAGATGAAAAGTCAAAGGACAGGGACTTAGAGAAAGTACCACTCATGGAACTACAGGGGCAAACCTGATAGGAAGTCTCTTGTGCTGGGCAGGCTCTGTTCTTAAAGGGATAGGAAAGTCAAGAAGGGTGGAATTTATTCCTAAAGAAACTGAATCCACCATCGTGATGGTGGAATGTGATGGTCATCATTATCCAAAGTACCCTGTATGAAGACACGAATTGGTGTGAATATACTTTATATACAACCAGAGATGTGAAAAACTGCGCTCTGTATGAGTAGTAAGAATCGTTATGCATTCCGTTGTCATATATTTTAAAAAATCAATAAAAAAAAGAGAAACTGAATCCAGAAAACTCAGGGAAAGCTCAGATGAACCATGAAGTGAGCCTCTATCTTCCTGCTCCCAGAACAACAGAAACCATGTTCAGCCCAGCCTACCAACCCCAATCTCAACTTCAGGAGAGAGAGTAGAGATTCCTTCTCTAGAGAAAGTCTCAAGGAAGATTCCCCACAGCCAGATGCAATGGTGCACACCTGTAATCCCAGCAACTCTGGAGCCTGAGGCAGGAGGATTGAAAGTTTAAGGCCAGCCTCAGCAACTTAAGGAGGACCTAAGCAAGCTGGCAAGACCCTGTCTCGAAATAGAAAATAAAAAGTGTTGGGGATGTGGCTCAGTGGTTAAATCAAGAAGAGGAGGAGGAGGAGAAAGAGATTGACATTTTTGGATCTCCCAAAGAAAAGTCAGGTTCACTCTGTGACTATGGCACTCTGAAGTGGATATAGCCAGTGGATACAGCCCTCCACCCCATGCACACAAGGCAGGTTCTTATTAGCTATCTAGTGCTCGGTTCCTAAATATGAAGACACAGTACAGGATCACCAGGTATTTCAACAAAGCTTCAGCATTTCAGAAAGAGAAAGAACAAGACAAGCAGACAATCAGGGACCAGCAGGAAGCAGAGGACTTAAAATATATATACTAATACCCTCAGAGAGGCAAACGAAGACACTGCATCTGTAAAACAAGGCAATTCTTAAAGTGTGAACAATAAGATGGAAGGAAAGAATCCTTGGGAATTATAATCATCGCAATTTAAAAGTCAAAGGAGAATGGAAGATTAAGTCAAGAAAAATCTTCCAGAAAATCAGAGAGGGAAGAGGTATAAATAGGAAAGAAAAGAAAATTAATGTTCCACATAGAGATCACACATATGATTAAACAGAGTTCCAGGGTTAGAGGAGAGAATATGAATAGAAAATATGGAAGGGAGAATGAGAAACTTATGGAAATTTCCCCAACTTTCCTACCCGGTTCCCATGTACGATTAATACATGTGCTCAAGTGCACATTCTCACTCACACACATCAGAAACAAAATTCCAAAATGCCAGAACAATGGGGAGAAAGAGAAGATGCTCAGAGTTTCCAGGAGGGAGGGACAGGTCACATTTATGGGAATAACAGGCAGATTTATATCAGACTTCCAAAAAGAACAGCTCAGAAAGGCCAAGGCAGGTCTCCCTAACAATACCACTGCTGTTTCTGAATGGAGTAATTCCTTCCCAATGTCAATGGACCATTATTCAACTTGGAATTCTACACACACAGCACATGCAGGTGGGTCCTCGTACACATGAGCAGGCACACACACATATGGTTTAGGTATGAAATGTCCCCCAACGGTTCATGTGTTGTTGGCATGGTGCTCCATGTTTAGAAGTGGGGCTCTGGGGAAGTGGCTGGATGATGAATGCTCCAAACTCCTCAATGCATTAATCCATTCACGGTTCATCACTGAACAAACTCTTGAGAGATGGTGGAAACTGTAGGAGGCGGGGTTGGGGTGGAGGACATAGGTCACTTGGGGGTGTCCTTAAAGAATATCTCTTGTCCCCATCCCTCTTTCTTCTCTCTCCCTACCTCTCTTTCTCTCCTCATGGCTGCCACAAAGTGAGCAGCTTTCCTGCACCACTCCTTTCACCATGGTGTCTCAGCCTTGCTCCAGGTCTAAAAGCCATGAAGCTGGCTGGCCAGGGACTGAAACTTCTGGAGCAGTGAGTTGTGAGCCTCCTTTAAGGGTTTTTTGTGTTCTTGTTGTTTTTCCAGGCATTTTTATCACAGCGATGAAACCAAACACTATGTATGTATGTATATGCACACACACACACACACACACACACACACTGTAAGGGCAACAGAAAGTTATTTTGCAAATATGTAAAAAGTCATGTCACTTGTCTCCTTTCTTAGGAAACATCAGGAGGAAGGACTCCAGCAAAACAAGGGGAGAAACAGGAAAAAAAAAGTAGTAGGGTAGCCATCTCAGGCCAAAGAGCTGTGGAAAGGAGGTGTCTCGGGGGGCAGGAAAAGAAACACAGTGGCAAAGGCAGGATTCAGGCCAGGCTGTCTCACTCGCTCCAACACTCAGTCTTCACTGCAGCCACATTGCTTATTATACCTGTTGACCATTGACCACAAAAAGACAAAAACCAAATATTAGCACTCCTCCCCACCCGTTTCTGTCCTCAGCATCATGGGACATGGGTTGTTACAGTGACTTGGAGGAAGGACATAGAATAGGAAGAAGATGTAACCTGGGACTTCAACCTTTGGGAAATGCTGTTTCTTCAAATCTGCTCTCATGAAGTCCATGGAGAGTTGTCAACAAAATTTTCCAAGAGCCCATGATCTAAAACAGTCAGCACTTCTTTTATATTATTTTAGATTTTGGGAGAGGCAGAGTAACAATCACAGGTAAAGGGTCCTGCACCCAGGCTCATAAATCATGAGAAGGAATGAGAGCAATTTCACCAGAGGAAAATATGAAACTATGGTAAGTTGAATTAGCTGAAAAAATCATGATGATTTTATTATTGAGATATTACAGTGTTGAGTTCTATAAATGTAGCTTCTTTAATCTTAGAATGTTTTTGTGAGGTTGGTACTATTACTGATCCTATTTTAAAGATGGCAACATTGAGGCACAGAGCAGCTACCTGCCCTAGGACATACACATGCCTAGCAAGGGAATATTGTTATGGTTTAGATGTAAGGTTCCACCCCAAAAGCTCATGTGTAAGCAATGTAAGAATTTTCCAAGGTGAAATATTATGTTATGAGAGGTGTGACCTAACTGGTGGATTAATCCACTGATATGGATTAACTGGGCAGTAATTATAAAGAGGTAGGGTGTGGCTGGAGGAGGTAGGTCACGGGGGTCATGCCTTTGGGGGTGTATATTTTGTCTGTGGTGAGCATGTCCTGAATCGCTTTCTTCTTCCACACCTTTCCACCATGAAGTTCTACCTCACCTCTGACAGAGAGCAATGGAGCTGGACACCTATGGACTTAGACCCCTGAAATGATGAGCCAAAAGAAATATTTCTTCCTCTAATTGTTCATTTAAGGTATTTTGGTTACAGTTGACTAAAACAAGTTGTGACATGGAATTCAAACTCACAGCCTGGCCCCCAGAGACTGG